GTTGTTTCTACTGTGTTTGATTCGATTAGAAAACAAGTGGGATCTATGTCTTTGTGTTCGATTCACATATATATTGATTCGTGTTCTTATCACAAAGTCATTCCGCAACTTTGTGTGGCGAACTTCAATTTATTCAAGTCGTAGACCTTGAAACCGTGTGACCATAAGCTTGGTGGATTCCAATCTTATATCACCCAATCTCCTCGGCTTTCTCTATTTGGTCGATCCCCAACTCTCTATCCCCGTGGTGAGGCTAGGTGAGACCTTGGTCCGAGCTGATTCCTCCGATTTTCCCCCTCGAACCCTCGAGATGATAGTGAAGGTCACGACAAGATCTCTTCCTCCACCAGAGCCGCCAGACCCCCTCCCAACTCCGTCGTGCTCGCTCACCCATTCCAAGCCTCACCACCGCACCAAATTGCTCTCCCCAGGGTTAGTCCCGAGAGCCTCCCTACTACCATCACCGTCGGACCCTATCGCTACGACGAAGCCATCCTCCGCGGTCAAGCTGTATCACCGTCGGCTCTCACTGGAATCTCCCCCAGGTCTGAACGGCACTATTTCGGGAAGGTTTTCGGTTTGGATTCGACGGTTCATCACTTTATCTATCGGATTTCGCACCATTTTTCACCCTACCCCGACCCGTTGGTCACCACCGGCCTCCTTTGGCAGCCGCCAGAACTGTAATCGCCGGCAAAGACTCACTGATTAAAATCGTGGTCAACAACGATACATCCTTGTACTGGATCTGTTTGTTATTGGGGCTTTGGCTATTAATGGGCCGAATCCGAATCAGCCCAATCATTATTTGTAATGGGCTGAGGCTGATTTTTTGGATAATTGTGAGGTGTTAATGGGCTTTTGTAAGCACAGACTGCTGAGGCCCAACTTGGAGATGGTTCTCTATTATCTTTGCCCAGCTTTAAAGTTTTCTGGATTCTCAAATCCTGCAAGTTACTCCCGGTGGAAGAGATTAATTTCACTTTTTACCATCTTTTTAAGAGTGGTTGTATCTTCTCTCTCTTGGAGAGTAGTCGAATTCCCGAACTTTTTGCCGGAACCTTCAAAGTCGCATTCAAACGTGACCAACATGAGACTCTCCAGCTTTGCTGCGATGATCCTCTTGACGCATCCGAGGATTGTCTTGGATCCGTTGTCCATCTTCTGCGATGATCTATCTGCTCTATGTTTTATTGTATTTCAATTATGTCGTAGTAATTTTGGAGGATATTTAATTTCCTCTCTTTGTACTTTGTTCGGTTAAATGAATGAAGTAAACTTATTGACAAATAAAAAGACATAGGATTGTGAAAAAAATGTGAAGCAAATGAAGTTATTAAAAGTAA